AATATTTTACAGAGTCGACTAGCAGGTATCCGAAAAAGACTTTTTTTTTCATATATATATATATTATATATATATATATATATATATATATATATATATATATATATATATATATATATATATATATATATATATATATCACTTTTACAAGAAGCACAGGAAAAAAAATTTAAATCCATTTTCTACATCTAGATATTTTATCTACAGAATGAGCCACAATACGTTCGTCTTCGACTAAATTTGCGTCTGGAATGGAATTTCTGCATTGATAAGTATACCTCCGAGATAACGGTCGTTGAAGTTTTTTTTTCTCTTTTCATCATTTTTTGGTATGAAAAATGAAAGGGAGAAGCATAATCTTCCTAAACCATAATTGTCTATCATGTACCTACATTCCAAAGCCTTGTAGACATTGCCAGCAAGTAACAGTTTCTCAAAATCTTACGTATAGTGTTCTAGGGTGGCAGTGTTATGGGGTGTCTCTAAGCCTACATTGACCTTTTTTTTTTTTTCTAAAATCCAAAAAAAATCATACAGCCATTCTGATTCCATATCTGAATAGAACAGTGTTTCAACTATAATGTGCAGATTTTTAGAAGCCAACCTTATCTTTTTTGGGTGAATATTTTACAAAGGTGACCATCTCAACGCCCTAAAAAGGGATAATGAAAATATATGTCACTTTTATAAGACGCACATGAAAATATTGCAAATCCTTATTGCAGCATGTAATAGATCTACTATTCAGCAAGAAAATGAGCCATGATATGTTAAAATCGGACTGAAAATGCGTGTACTATGCATAAAAATGTGAAGGACCCAAACATTGCGTTCTTCTTCCTTTTCATTTTGTTTACATTTTACATATGAAATCATGTACAAAATGATTGTATGTGATATAAATAACTATTATTTACCTATTATTGTTGCTCTAATGGGGTTTTACAACGTATAATACTGGTCGAAAAAATTATCGTTCTCCAGTCAGATGGGTTTCATACGCGTCCCATTCTCAGTTAGACCTGGGGACATCGGACTTTGCCTCAGGTGCCTTTGCACCCGCGGATCCAAGGTGTTTAACAGGGCCACATAGCCATTTTTCACACTCGGACTCTCATGAAAACACAAGACACAAGTACAGGGCGGTGTAGAAATATGTATATAAGGTATGTAAGGATATATAGATCATTTTCGTGTATCCCATGACCTTTTGTTTATTTATATTGTTACTTCCGTTGGTGTGTTTGCTTGTTTGTTGTTTTTTGTTTTTTTGTTTATGTTTTCTGATATTTCTAAAAGTTATGAACACATTTTAATAAAATATTTACCAAAGGTTTGTTTTAACCTAACTTACACACCGATTGCACTTTGGTGGTCAGGCGCACCATGGTTCGGATCCAGGATTTTTTTTTTGCGAACTCAAATTATGGACGGGGGGGGGGGGTTATTTTTGAAATCTTTTGCTCATAGATCAAACTAACTTTATAGGATGAAAACACATAGAAAATAAAATATTCCACATGAGCGGCATATCATGTTTATTTATTTGTATGAAAAAATTTTTGATATTGTTTTTTGGATGTTTGCCAGATTTTTTTAAATCATTCCAAAAAAATTAAGGTTGGTCTCATCTTACATGAAATTTAATAAGCTTTCAGAAAATAATCCCATTATTTTATCATCTGTAATCCTTACGTCACAATTGCCTATTTTCTAAGGTAAGGTGAAAAAAATATATATTTCGGTTGACACCAAAAAGGGCTGTTACCACCTAAAAAACAGCGGACAGGCCTTGAAATTCTCAGGGGTGAATCGGAGGCCCTGAATCTTCTTGAAACTGCATTAAACTCAATTTCGGCAAGAAGGGCAAAAATGGCCCCAAAAAAAAGGAGACGATTCCCTTACGAATACTTTAGCCCCAAATTGATTTTCAATTTGTGTATCAAGATCATAATTGCCACTATGTACAAAAGCCATTCTTTTTGTGTATATGTATACTATACATAAATTCATATCTATGATGGGTATGAATAAATATGAAAGATATTTAATACTGCTGAACAGTCAAAAGCAATCCTTCCAGTGTGTTTCTTTTGGCTCTTTCTTCTAATTGACAATAAATTGTCCTAGAATGCTCCATGGGAGGAGGAGTTATTAATATCCTCAGCTATTGCCTGCCTCACGGCATTTTAATTTGGATGTTAATCAAATGATGACAGGATAACGCCCTACTGCATCGTAGCAGACTATCCCTCATGCCAGGATAACATCCTCACATCAGGCACAGGTAAGCCTGCTCTAAGTTTTGCACAATAAACAATAGTATGCTTGTATGATCCTGGCTACTCCCCTGAAGAATAACAGGCTCTCAAAAGGCATAAAGCCCCTTTATGGGTTGTCTGACTAGGTGTTTTTACAACTCCTCAGTATTTTGAAAACTATCAAATAGGAGCTAAAATATAAAATATGCAAAAGAGCACTGTTATATATCATATTACTTTTTAAGTATGATTATTAATGAAAGTTAGAAAGAAAAGTAACCCATTTTCTTCAATTTCAGTTATTTACACCTTCAAACAATTTGAAAACTGTTTTTACATCTGAAAAAGAACAAATTAACTAAGGGAAAAAAAATATTCTTTTCTCCATGAAACTAAAAGTAAATGTAGAACCTGGACAATTGGGCTAGGTTACTTTACAGATTTCATTTTTTTCTTATTTCCCCAGATCATCAGTTATTGTACCAAGATTTACCATGGCCTATAAACTTTTCTTTCCACAAAGTGCAGCCACATAATCTACCAGCCTACAATAATTCCCCTAATTATCAAAAACATTATTTTCATAAACCAGCAGTAGTATATTTATGTGCTCACTGTGGCATTCCTCAGGGTGGCCCTCTTACAGTTTCATTAGTGAAGAATGTCTCACTCTATCTTATGTTCACTATCTTTATTTACGATCATTTCCATAATATTATTTAAAATAAGTGAATTATACTGAGGATAATATAGGGATGGCAAAAATAAGTACAAAGAGTGGTTGTCATAAGAAAAAGAAATAAAGTGCAAAAGCAAGCCTTTACATCATATTACATCAGCATATCATAGGTTGATCATCAATAAATGACATCAAACCCCAAGAAAAAACTAACTTACTCTCTGGGCCCATTCCTCAACTTTTGTTTGAAAACCGAAGACTTGAAAAGAAACATCAACCAGTTTGTAGGAGCACATTATAACTTCAGCACATTCACGCCACCCTTCTTTTAATGGTCCTCGTCCTGTCTTCTCGGACTTGAAAGTGGCAGGATCCTAGTTTAGAAAAATAAAAATAAAAAAATACAAGGAAACATTATCATAAAAAAGTTTTTCAAATCCTTTCTTTACATAGACTGATGGCAATTCAATGTATCTTTCCAATAGAGTATAAATGCATGTTTCAAATTTCCCAAGATGAAGTTCAGGTTTCGAAATGGGAGGTATTTAAAACTTAAGTACAACTTGCCTCTTCTTTCTTGTAGTGTCTTTCATCCACTGGGTCTGTTAAGATATCTACATGATCCACTATTCTTTGCTTCAGCTCCTCCTCATTAACATTAAGGCACTGGAAAGATATGTAACAAATGTAAATGAGACTTTAATATTTATCCATGAACCATATCTGTTAAGTATTAAGTAAAGGGATAAAATATGTAATGAAATTATATGAGAGCTAATCTTATACTTACATTTTCTGAAGACCCATTATTATTCTCATATCGTGTGCGAATCTTGATACTGAACCTTGGAATGACAGAGCACTGAAAACATAAATCCATGAAATTAGCACTTAAATATCTTTCCTAACATAAGCATGACATCAAGATCCCATATGAAGTGAAAAATAAATTCAAAGAAAATCTGAGTCATACCATGACAAAAGTGATTAGTGACACCTTATTCTTTATCACAATCATATTACAATCTGCGTTCCATAGCTCATAAAATTATGACTAATTTCTTAAAAATTGCAAAAACAAAAAGCACTAAAAGTGAACATATAAAATACTCACTGTGTATTCTGTAGGTATCATACAGCAATGAAAAAGATAAAACATATATTAGACTATTTACATATACTTTCCTTAAAATGCAAGTATACCATATCCATCATAATCAAATGCAAAACTTAAATATTTCTCACCATCATCAGTTACTGTAGATTTTAGAAAAGTTAGCCCTTTATATAAAACTCACAGTAAATTCCCTGATTACAATATTCATATCTATGTGAAGTAATGCTATGAAAACAAAGAATTCATATATAGATTTAACCTAAATCAGGGATACATACCTGTCTCAGTGTATGGATAATAGTTCCAGGCTTTTTCAGTTAGGTATATAAATCGTGGAACATAAGCTCTGGCCCAAGGTGGAAGTTTTCTGTAATTCCATTATTAAAGAATTACAATAACAATAATCCAGTGTACCAAAGTTCTTATTTCTAACATATATATTAGTTCCCCTCGCCTTTTTTTCTACTTCCTCTAAAATCTATGATATTCCTTCTATTCACTTACCTATTGCAATCCATTAGGAACTTATTCAAAAAGAGAATTGTAATGTTTTTATTAAAGCTTTTCTTACATGACAACCTATTGATAATGTCATATCTTTTGCTAAAAAACTCCATACAAACAAAAATAAGTTTCTGACTTTAAGTATTAACATTCTCTCTTAGTATTCCAAACAAAACAAAAAAGAGAATTAGATAAGCACTGACCCAGATAGGTGAATACGCTTCTCTGTGAACTGTCCTTCGCCGTGACTTGGATCAGTATGAGGAACATTTTCAATTACTTCCACACCCTCTCCCCCATCACTCTGCTCAGAGCTATGTCTGGCAATCATGTACAATTGCCCAATGTGGTACTGGAAAATTAGAATCCACATTAATACACACACAGGCTAAATATTATATGTTCATGTTAAAATTCTGATCATCGGTTAGTAATGATT